TTCCACATTCTAAGTTTAACAAATAAAGTGTCAGAAATGATCTAGAGCAGAGAATTTATTCATCGCACACTGACTGCAGCACATTGACTGAAACGTGTCTCCTTACAAGTAAGATCCTATTAATTGGAATTAATCTGTCCCCTTAAACTATCCATTTTAAGGCATCCATGTATAAGAAATATGAAAACTTAAGAATATGTTTAAAATTTCCCTTCAAATTTCAATCCGTTTTCTCATCACTGGGCGTGAGTTTAGGGCGATGCGCGCTCCTGTGACAGGGAAGGTCATTCTCGGCGTGTTACCTGACATGTAATAACCATATCATGCATATTGCTTTATGTTAATAGAATATATTAATTAGGCTATGTATGCTTAAAAAAAGCAATTCCACCATCCCCCTTTTTGTTTTTTACAACTCAACTACTGCACGTATCATATCACAACATGCATGCCAATACTCACCCCTAGGAATGAGGAATTATGGCGATGGAGGCGTCGTAATGCAGACTCACCGTTCTTTAGATGGAAACGTTGTTTTATCTTTAACAGCCAGTTACTTTGACCCCAAAACAAACATCTTATTGCATCTTTTTCACCCAGATTGTGCAGGATAAAAGACACAAGGTGGAATAATTTATAAATGATTAATTTATATATTCGTTTTTTTTTTTTTTTTAATGACCTTTTGGATCCACAGTTTGCAGAAATTGACAGAGTAGTTTTAAAACCAAAGCAACAATCCAAACAAATCAATATTTGTTCATCAGCAGCATCAAACCACAAGAAGAAGAACAAAAAGAAGACCAAGGCAGCGGCTGCAGCAGCTCCACCTTCAGCCTGTCTGTCGGTGGACAGCGGCTTCCTCTGCTGTGCTCACCATGAGGTCATGGTGGCCGGTCTGTCCATGCTTGGAGCGGCGACCCCGCAGAACAAAGGTGTGTGTCTTCTTTTATTTGCTCAGACCAGCCTGTTTGGGCTGATTCACAACCTTTGCAGGACTCCATTCATCTTTGCAATCACCTTCCTTCCTAGACGGCCCGGTTTCAGTGCTGCTGGTGGGTCTCGGTGGTGGAGGTCTCCCTCAGTTCCTCCGCGACTTTGTGCCGAATGCTGCTGTTGAGGTCGTAGAACTAGACCCAGTTGTGCTGCAGGTAGCAAAGGACTGGTTTGGATTCCGACCCGACGATCGTTTGACCGTCACTCTGGGGGATGGCCTGGAACGCATCTGCTCCCTGGAGAAAGAAGGTCAGTGTTGGGCTGGCAGAGCAGGGCTGTGAGCAGAAAATAAGTATATATATAAACAAAACTCACATGTGACTGAGGTATTTCTTTCCATATAGGTGGCCATTGTTTTGATGTCATCATGTTTGATGTGGACAACAAAGACAGCTCTGTGGGGATGAGCTGTCCTCCTGCTGCTTTTGTAGAGACACCTGTTCTGCAGAAAGTTTTTAACATGCTCACTTCAAGAGGTAAACAAAGGCTCCAGTTTATGTCATCATCATTAT